AACTAAAGCTAATTCTCTTTCCACACTAAAATCAGAGAATACTGAAAATTTCAAACTTAATTTTCATAATATTTGCCTCATTAGTCTTTACAGACAACAGGAAGTGAAGTTTAACTTCAGCATCTGAGGTTTAGGGGGTAAAAAGTGACCAGATCCTGTGGACCATCACAGTGTGTTATTTTAATATGGACACATTATTCATTCCTCTCTGCTTTGACTGTTATTACACAACAATGTATTTTAAAGGTTTTTAAGAAAAATAAGTACATATTTTTATTAAAATTTATCAAAAAAAATGCTTTGGTTCAAAAATATTTTGTTTATTTTTTTATCATGATAAAAAACAAAGCCATAATCAGGTCAGATGATCTGTCTGTCCACAGACTGACAGGCAGCTCTCTGAACTGTACGTTTCTTGTGTGAATCTCTCACAGACAGTTGCTTCACGCTGTGTTTTCCTTCAGGAAAACAAGTTTGGCAATTTTCTCTCTGAGAATCATCTTTCACTTTCATCACCTATTTTCCAGTTATTATTTTTGCTAAATTTTTGACATAGTTTCCATCACATTCTGCATGAATAAAACCTATTTTCTTTCACGTGTTTAGATATTTATTAGTGGTGCGTCTTTGCCTTTTTCTCTTCTCTCCTCCTCCTTCTGCATAGGAGGCAGAGAGAGAAATAAGGAGGCATTTTCTAATGGTTGTAAATTGCAGCCAATAAAAAAATGTCTGTCGATTGTTTCCCTTTTTTTGTTTTGTTATTATTCTTGTCATAATTTGATCAGTCAAATGCAGGACTTTGCTTCAACTTGCGCAACGCTGGGACAAGAGTGAAAAATGTGAGACAGTCCAGCACAGTTTGCCTGGGGGTAAATTACCTGCTGATTATAGAGGAGCTGCTTCAGCGGCCTTCCTCTCCTCCTGTCCGAGCGCGCAGCGCGTTCAGAGGGACAGCTCAGGAGTGAGCTGTGTGTGTGGTGAAGGGAGGGTGTGAGGACAATATTATTATTAATGATTGTAGGGGTTTTGGGTATATTCTAAAAGTAGATAATTTGTGAACTCACAAATTATCTTACTCGAGGCACCAGGCTCTTAATTCAGTCCAGGATTGACCCAGGAAAGAGACGAAAACCTGTATATTGTAATCAGTCTCACAATAAATGTACCCAAAATGATTTAATGAGTTCTTGTCTTATCAGAACCAATAATACTTCATCAAGACACAAAAGTGAGATTAGTTTATGTTGGCACGTTCTCCACGAGCCATTTATTTACAGATTAAATGTATTTACAACTATGGTGAGTAATGAATAAGTGATGTGTTGAACCAAGTAAAAACTGAAAGAGTTTGCTATCACGAGTGAATAACAACAAACAAACAAATAAACAAACAACAAATAAACGTAAAACAAACACTGAGAGGTGAGTTTGAGGTTTGGAGTGAGGTGAGTTTGCTTTTAGCTGGTTTTTAACTAAGGGGGTCCTAGTTAAATTAGGGAGAAAAAGCATTTAGTTTACCAAATCTCATACAAAGATAAGAATCAAATTAGTCTGAGCACCTGTGTGTCACCAGGACAAATGTTCACTTTTACCCTTTTGTTCTGCTGATGGCGGTACCAGGAGGAGGCGTCCGCTGACCGAAGGATCTCAGGTGATGTTCCTCAAAGAACTGCTTCAGTGTGGTGGCCGGTCGGACACTCAGGGTGTCTGTTCAGCTGCTGGTCCTTCAGTCAGAAAGGWGGGTAATGAGCTGATGACAGCGGGGTCCGGTCCTTTCAGGTGGCTGCAAGACTTCAATTCAATTCAATTCAATTCAAAAATACTTTATTGATCCCAGAGGGAAATTAGGTAATTAATTTAATTAACTTCTTCATTTGATTTCACCTTGTAGAGAAAACGAGCTAAAATGACGCATGAATTACAGTTAGCTTATTTAACTTCTATTAAAATCAAACTCAGACATTGAGTCGATATTAAATGGTAGCTGTCCGGTCAACCAGCGGGAGATGCAGAATGACCTCATCCCACCAGCCCATGGGGAGGGGCTGGCAGGAAGGCCTCTGCTGAGCTTCTGGAAAGCTGTTTCTGGCTTCTGATGTTGAAAGGATCTCTTTATCTCATACTCTCGTTCACTCTGTCGATCTTGGGAGCTGCGCTAACTTTTAAAACCTCTGTTATGGGCGGAGTCATGGTTTTAAGTTGGCCAATGAAAATATTACACCTTATACAGGAAAAGTTTTTAACAAATCAAATCTGTTTTGGCGGGAAAACTTTACTTCAGGACAAAGAAAAAGGGAGTGTTTTAGTTTAATTATCTTGCATCTAATTAAAGGGAAAGACGTCTGTTTACCTCAGTAAAATAAGAATGTCACATTTAATTAAAAATTCAAGTCATAGGTTTCTAATGGTGCGTTCACACCGAACGCGATTTCAGCGTCAGGAGCAGCAGGTTTACATACAAACTCTATGGTGGACGCGCTTCAAGCAACGTCGGGAAGTTCTGCGGCGCCTCAAGCGCGATTAGAGCAGCGCGATTTGGACGATTTGGACGATCTGAGCGTCATCGTCCAAATCGCTGAAGTTAGAAAATCTGAACTTTTGCAGCTCGACGCGCAGCGTCAACCAATCAGAGAGACTCCACTGTGTGACGTAGYGACATATTTCCCGACGGGACAGTTTACTGAATGATGTCCACTAACCTGAAACAGACAGAGCTCCTGCTCTTTAGCTGAAATGAGTGCTGCAGTCGTGTCCTGATCCGCAGCAATGCGTGGCAGCGACTCATCAGACTGAAAAAAATAGTCCTGAAAGCAGCTGTGAGCCTCTTCTCTGAATTATCTGGTGAATTAATTATGAATTAATTATCTGATGAACGTGACATGTTCTTGCTCTGTAAATAAAGCAAAGCCACTTCCTCGTCCGACATTAAACGGAGCCCGACAGAGGAGGGAGGGGCGGGGAGGCTGTCGCCGTGCAGCGCTTCAACAACTGTCCTGCGTCTGACCTCAAAGTGCACGAGCTTCAAACTTCAGCGTTGGCTGCGATTTTGAAGCTGAAATCGCGTTCGGTGTGAACGCACCATAAGGATTAAATCATGGAATAAAAAAACATCTTCTTCTTTAGGAAAGCGTTTCATCAAAAAAACCACACAGTTAACTTCAATGGGTTTTATTCTTTCTGTAAAAGAAAAGGTAAATCACATTTCTTTAATTAAGATATATGAAAACAGACAGTTGTATAAAAACATTCAATCTGGTTCCTTCTTTTTTTTCACATTTAATGAAGAATGTAGGTTATTTGTCTCAGTCACTGAAGAGTCTGGTTAAAGGCGTTTATGACCCCCTTTGAAAAGGAACCAGCAGTCTTGTGCTTATGGGGCTGGAAGCACAGAACTTGTGGGGGTTTTAGGACTGTGGCAATCCTTATCTATTAACGTTCAGGCGTCAGGAAGTCTGGTGGGGGTTTGTGTAAGAGATGCTAATTAGGGCCACAAAGGAAGTTCCATGCAAAATCCTTAAAAAAATAGTCTGTGAAGTTTGTGGGATTGTGTTCCTTCCTTTGAGCAGTCATAGGAACAAGTTAAATCTAATCAGAAATGATTTATTTGATGCAGGAAAATGCTACATAATATCAATACTGTTGCCATTATAGTTGTACACTTAATAAGAAGTGCAACCAAGGGCGACAGATGGAGCATAACAAAAAAAAAAATGGGTTCGACAGGGGCACTTGATGGTCTGGAGGGAAACGGGCAGGTGCTCAAGCACCACCTGACGTCTATCTGTCCATGACCCAGTCTCAGCTGCTCCCACGAACCAGCAGGAAGTGTCTTCTCTCAGCAGCTCTTCTTGACCCGGTTCTGACGGTGCTGCTCGGGTGTCTGGTTTTGGTTTCAGCTCCTCTGCTCATTTCAGTTTCACCTGCAGAGAGTCGATGAGGTCCAGAATCTCTGAGAAATAGCTGTCCTCCTCACCAAGAACCGTTTCAGACTGGACCATTTCTGCGTACTGGACTCTGAGGGACTGCAGCAAGCCCAGCAGGGCCCTGTCTGAGCGGTACTGGTCCAAACACACCGGACTCATGGCCAACAGAGTCTGCAGAGCCTGAAAACAAGAGGATACCGAACATCAGGACCAGGACCGGGACCAACCAACACAAAACAGAGTGAAGAGAAAAGAACTCGTGGTTTTCTATAGTTTTTATTTAACAAATAAAATCAATCAATATGTTGCAGAACCACCTTTGTGATTCTAGAGGTCAAATCTTTGCCCATTATTCTGTTGAAACAGCTGCAGCTCAGACAGATTACATTGTAGACCTGACCCATTCCAATGTAGACCTGGCCCATTCCATTGTAGACCTGACCCATTCCATTGTGGACCTGACCCATTCCAATATAGACCTGACCCATTCCAATATAAACCTGACCAATTCAATACAGACCTGACTCATTCCAATGTAGACCTAACCCATTCCATTGTAGACCTGGCCCATTCATTGTAGACCTGGCCCATTCCATTGTAGACCTGAGACATTCCATTGTAGACCTGACACATTCCATTGTAGACCTGACACATTCCATTGTAGACCTGAAACATTCCATTGCAGACCTGGACCATTCCATTGTAGACCTGACTCATTCCATTGTAGACCTGGCCCATTCCATTGTAGACCTGGCCCATTCCATTGTAGACCTGACACATTCCATTGTAGACTTGGACCATTCCATTGTAGACCTGACACATTCCATTGTAGACCTGGACCATTCCATTGTAGACCTGACTCATTCCATTGTAGACCTGACACATTCCCTTTTAAATCACTCTTCTGCTTGGCCTTCAGAGGAGCAGGATGTGCTTTCACTCTCTCTCTCTCCTGCGCCACCCACCTACCATTTGAAACTAAAGGAATTATGGATTTGGTCAACTGGTCTCTGAATGCAATTGACACTATTTTTTCCACACTTGGATTGAGGGGAACATGGCTGTCTGGGTGGAATGGTTGCTGCTGGACGTGTCAGTGATTCATGGGGCTGGAAGCGGATATGCTGGTACCACTTTCCATTGAAGACGTGAATTGGATTCCTGCTGATTGGGGGAGAAGGGTTCCAGATTTATCGTAAAGTGAAAGCGACCCTGACAGTGGTTCGGGCCTTTGAGAAGCTGTCGGACGCACTTGAAGGATTCTGCCGGGCTGGTAGCACACAGACTCTGCAGCTGGGGGAAATAATTCTCAAACTGGATGTGATTCTGACGAGGATCGTAACCCAGGAGCGAGCCTCCAGCATGTAAGGATTACATTTGGGTGACACTTCAGATAGTGAGAGACGAGGTAGACCCCAAATTCGGCTGATAGTTTTTTTTTGCCACTTCAGAGATGCAGTTAAGACATTTTAAAAGCAGCAGGAAATTCAAGGCTGCTTTGTTCCAAAACAATTGGATTCATCTATTGGCTCCTAGCGGCACAGCCTTGAAGGCAGTGTTTATCTCAACCTCCCCAGGATGGAATGTCAACAAAGCCTTGATTCCCTCCCACCCCCGTCACCTGTGTTGGACCTACTCCTCACCTACTCCTCTGAACCCGCCCCAACTTAACTCCCCTTCATGTGTTATCTGACCTAAGTCTTAAAAGAAGATGGCTCAGGTAATCTTCATATGAGCTCTGAACAGCTTCTCTGTTCCTGCAGAAGAAAGCCAGCCCACAGCATGATGCTGCCACCACTGTGTTTCACAGCAGGGTCCAAAGTTGATGCAGCTCTGAGATGGGTTCACCATCAGTGCAGAGCTCATTCAGGAACGGCAGAGAACAGGTGTGAGAACCCATTTCCAGAATGTTTGTGACATCTGTAAAAATGATGTCTGGAGAAGAAAACCTGAGTCCTGTGTCATTCCTACGGTGAAGCCTCCTGAGACCACTCATGTGTGTGTTTGTCTCTCATCCAGTGGAGTGGGTTCACCGTCACCATACGGAATGAAATCAAAGCATCCTCCAAGAGCAACTTCTCCCAACAATCCAGAGACTATTTGGAGATGAACAATAGATTTTCCAGCATTGTGTCCCAAAAACAAGCTGAGAATCAAGTGTCTCATTCAACAAAACACTGAAACTTTGAAACAACGACTGGAAAATCACCAGATCTCAATCCCATGGAGAAACTGTAGTCCATCCTCAAAAAGAGGTCCAACAAGCAAAAACTCAGAAGCTCTGATAACTCCAGTCACAGATTAGACAAGAACAAGATGTCATCACTCAAGAGTTTATATTTAACATCCAGCATGCTGAGGCAAACAGCTGAAGTCTTAAAGAAGAGTCAGCACTGTAAACATGAAGTCTTTGGATAAATTGAATAAAGTTTAAGCTAAGCTAAATTTAAGATCTTTTAAGACTTTTTAATGCCAAGTGAAATTAAATTTAAGACCAATTTCATAATAAACACAAATGACATAAAAAAACTGGCAGAAATTTATGAATCAAAGTATTTTTGGTTGAAGTATTCAAATATTGCTAATATAGACCAATTGTTTTTATACATATCGAACTGCTTTTTCATAAACTATAGCAGAAACATTTGTAATGGAAATAATACTTTTAGGTTTAAGCCAGTAATTCATGACATCCTTTAATGACCTAAGTTTTCATGACATGCTGTTTATCAGTGATTATAGCCAGATCAAGATCTGCTAACAACAATCATTCTTATTACTTGTATTTACCACATATTTCTGTTTTGTTAAATAAATATTTCCATAACACATTCTTAGCCGTCAGTTTTAAACTTAATTTAACTCCTGGAAATCCTCTAACGACCCAAAGTTTGGAGTTTTAGGACCCACAGTGGGGTCTTAAACTCAATTCGCTGTAGATGAAACCTTAAAGTGTCTGTGAAATCATTTTTTGTAAGAAAAGTGAGTGCATTTTTGGAAAGACAACATTATTAACATATTACAAAAATAATTTCTCATTGCTCAGATGTAAAGTTGTTGAGATATTTGCATGTGAAATAACAGGAAGTGATGTCAAAGGGGAATGTTTATGTGAATATTTAAAAAAGTTACTTTTACCAATTATTTTAATATTTGAAATGAATTAAAATCATCCTACAATGTGTTCACATCTTTAAAACTGAAAGATTGATTGAAGACATTTTAAGGCTAATTAAGGCCTTATTTTTGGATTGATGAATTCAATGACTGTTAAGACTTTAAGGATCTGCAGGAACCCTGTATCACATAAAATCTCAGTAAAATCTTTGAAAGTTACGGAACGTGACCAATCCAATGAACCCATTAATAATTAATGAATTAAAAATCCCCCCATCAGCCCACCTTCTCTCTGAAGTCATGCTCACTGGACTGCAGCAGCTGGGGCACCAGACGGCACCAGCCTTTCTCCAACAGCTCGCCCTGCAAGGACACCTCAGAGTACTGACGCACCCGCTCCTCATGAGACGGGTCCTGAACCGGGCCCGGCTGAGAGATCAGCTCCTGATGGAACACAGAGGAGTAACGTGGTTCAGTTCCCGAACCAGAACACAAGACTGCCTCTGGATAAAAGCAGTCTGAGAGGTTTCCTCAGACACCACAGTAAACTCTCATGAACTGGGTCAACAGTTAAAGATGGCCACCACAGCTGGAAACAGGTGTTTCAGTTCACGTAAAACGTTCTCTTCAAACAGGAAGTGGATGATCTTTGCAGGACATACTGTAAAAACAACGTGATGAGCAGACACTTCTGACACGTAAAGGTTTCCACACAGTAGCTATGTTTCCATTGCAAATCTGCGCAAAACTTTGTCGATACTCTGTTAATGTCGAAAAAACACAGTTTCACAACTGCAGTGTTTCCATTAAGTAAGAAATGCTATTAAAGTCACGTGAATACGTTTGTTCTCATGATAAGTCATTACAAACATGGCGGCCATGGATGTAAACACATAGCA